AGACCCCCAAATTTTCAGAGTTTTTAAGATATTATATCAAGCACAAAAAAGTTACGAAAAATGCGGTGCTTTTTCCGTTGGCCCACACGTTGTAGAGCGACAAAAATGGAAAATGTGATGAATTGGCGTGACATTTATTTCAAGACCTAATAGTTTTTTCCATCTTCCTAATAGTTTTTCTGGAAGGATCACGACCTCACCTAATAAGATATCAAATTTTCAATTTTTTTGGCCAAATTATTCTGAGCGTGAAAAAATGCAAGACTGGACTCACCTCCACACTCCAGCCGCCTTCCTTTCTTTCTTTTTTTCTTTTTTTCTTTTTTTCTTTTCTGGTAGTCAGAAATACAATGGATGCCGAGCCTCTTTGGGGACTTTCCTAATTTCCCAACACTGGCCGAAGTACTACCTTGTTCCCCCGAACACAACGTACGGTGATTATAGCTGTATTTGAGGCACCTTCAAGTCTAGATACAGCTAGAATGACCGTACTTTGCATTCGGGGGAAAAAAGGTAGTGGTTTAAACTGGCGATGGGATAAAACAGACTACATATTATTTTTGGCACAATGGAGTAAAATGGGACAAAGTGGCAACACAGCCCCAGACAGTATTCGGTACTTGTGGACATCGATTTGAGAACAAGATCATGGATAACACTCCACTTTACCAATAAGTTGTCATGGATTTTGTGCATGGCAGCATTTTTGTTGTCATGCACTTTGTGCTGGGCGGGAAAAAAATAGAAAAATAAAAAGTTGTTAGTAACGAGAAATTGCTAGATGCTACAAGCTTTACTTGTCAACCCTGCCCGGTCATTATAGCTGTCTTCACCTGAATCGACCGCCGCCCAGCGCCCGGTCATTATAGCTGTACTTAGTTGGCTTTCACTCCAGATACTCAAATTATTACCGGTGTCCGTAGCACTTTCCCGTATGTATCTGATATGAATTACAGTCGAATGCAGTTCCAAACATACGACTGTAATATTGGCAAGCCTGAAGTCCTCGTCACATGTACGTCCTCCTCACAACCAGTGAACGTTTACCAGTTGGGCGCAGTGAACTTATGAAACGTAAAGATCTGGCAGCTGAGCACAGCAAACTGACTGAGAAGTTTCCCATACCTTGCCATGAGTTGCATCCTCTATTTTCTGATCAGCCAAATTTTCATCTACACGTACACACATACACACATACCCTTGAGCTTCGACTATAATTTCTGAAAGTCCCAAGTAAAGTATTCTCATCTACATGCACACACATACACACAAACAAATATTATCCATTCTGAATCGTCAGCACAATTCGCAGGGATCTGTGTTCTACAATTGCGTAAACTTGAATTTCGACTAGAATTTCTGAAGTCCCAAGTAAAGTTCTATCATGATTTTCGAATCTTGGAACCCGAAAACTTCGGAATCCTACTATCATTATATCATAGCTATAAATTTTGAAGACCCTCTCCGATAATTAGTTTTTTGCTTCTCTTAAATTGGTGATACGTGCATATGGAGGGAGCTGCATACTATTTTTGAAGAGGCCTTGCTTTTGCAAATTGCGATCGGCGTTTTGCAAGTGTGTCATCGATAACCGTAGTCGGCTGGATCCGATCATTCCCGGAGGGCTGAAAGGTAAGAACGGGGTGGGGGGAGCTCTACCTTGCAGGGGCATCACAAGGTGGGGGGTGAATGTCTTAAAGAGGGTAGGGGCGGAGTAGGGGGTTGCCCTATTCTGGGGCAGGGGCTGGTGTGTGGGTCAACGTCAGTCCCAGCGGAGGCAGAAATGGGCAAGGAGGGGGAGGGGTGCATGCTTTAGGTGGGACCTACGTGCCCCTGGGGATAGGGGGGTAGAGGGTTGGTCCTATATTGGGGCCGAGGGAGAGCGGGAGACTCGCCTCGGCGGAGGCAGTGTAATGCTGAGGGGGGAGGGGGAGGGGGAGGGAGGGGCGATCTCTCACGAAGAATTCTAACATCCAGTTTAGTATTTCTTTCCTATTTGGTTTGCCTCTCGAGGAGGTAGTAGGGATAGATGCTACCTGGCAAGTCGTCCGTGATCCTGCGAAAATTCGGTGGCCCTGCAAGACCGATGCTGGAGCAACGCTGGCCGGAGCCGGAGCCCGGTGGCGCAACTCTGTGACCTAGCTTAGTGGGGGCGTGAAGCCTGGTAAAGAGATCTGGGGGGCTGTTTGCGGGGGAAGTCTCAGTGGTCATCGGGGGTCGTAACCGGAGAAATCCTGGCCGGTGCTGGAGCAAGGTGGTGCAACTCTGTAACCTAACCTGATGGGAGCATGAGGCCTGGAAGAGCTTCCGTTTGTGCTGGAAACAGCCATGCTGGTGGTGGTCATAGGTGGATTGAATAGGTTTGACCTATCTGATTCGTGGTTGGGAGGCTTTTTGACACTAATATTGTAGTGACTCAGTAGAGTTTTGAGTAGTCGCCATGAATGTTTCTGAGTTTTTCCTTTATCCATGGTTTGTTCGTTTTGGTTGCCAATGGGGGTCTTAAGAATCATTTAAGATCCTGGGGACTTCTAGCAACTCATCTTAGTCAGCTCCATTGCTGATATACCCAGTGATCTGAGGTTGTTCGATGCCAGAACGACGCTGGCCGGTGCTGGGGTGCTGCCCTGTAACCTGCTGATGCAGGAGTGTGAGGCCTGGTAGAGAGATCTGGGGATGCTTTGGGGTGGGCATTCCAAGGGACAGGCAAGGGTTGCTGCTGGGACGACGCTGGCCGGAGCTGGGGCGAGTCGTGTTGCCCTGTAACCCAGCAGGGTGGGGGTGTGAGGCCTGGAAGAGCTCGGCAGGGAGTAAGACAGCGCTGGAGAGCTTTAGAAGGGTTGCTAGGGATCCACAGGGGTTTGAGCATTTGTAGGACCTCTGTGGTGGCATGTTTTGTCGTGGGCAGACCTTTTTTTCTGTAGTTTGTCGTAGTAATATTCTAAGTAGCTCAAAATTCTCTCAAAGTTCTCTCCGTCAAAGCCGGGTAAAATGGCCCCGGTATCTCAAACTTTCAAAATTCGATGTAAATTTCCATATGGAACGCTGGGCCTGGTTCCCAGCACGTGCTGCTCCGCACGAATAGATTGGAGCCTTGCCCCCCCCCCCCAACCCCAAAAAAAGAAAAAAAAAACAGAAAAAAAAAAAAAAAAAAGAGTTGCATTACCCAAAACAAAAGTGATGACTCAACTCTGCAAGGGCAGGTCATTGTTTGGCCAGTTGTCTCACTTCTTCCAACTCTCAAAGTGCAAAGACCGCTACAGTCTCCTAAGGCTCGCATTCCCACAACCCACATCGATCACATGTTTAAACTTTAAAGTTTAAATAACATTCCCTAGTGAAAATATTCCTCAACATCCGAGTTCGGACATATCTTGACAACACCATAGAGGTGTTCGCACTGCATGGTGACGGCATGCATATGCATCAGAGTCTGATCATTTCAGACTGAATCCGCAAGTAATTGCTGCCGATATAAAGGTAAACCCAGAGATCTATGCGCACACTTGTGCTGAATCCACACTGTCAAAGCCAAATCTTGCATCGGTCAAGGTAGGTTCTCCCCTATAGTTAAAGAACGACCACCCCGACAAACAAAAAATCAGCAATGAGGTGCACACGACAGCCGTGGGGGTGTGCTGGTGGAATTGGCTGCAGGTGGTCGGCGGCTTTTCACAATGTTGAGTGTGGCTGACTTTAGCAAGTTTTCGTGTGCAGAATAAACACGGCGATAAGGAAAAAGTCACCAACATGGATGAATCATTTGAATGCGGATCGATTGGCAAAAAAAGAAGAAACATGGCCAAAAAAAAAAAAAGGTCAGTGGCAGAAGCACACATTGTTTTCCCTCCCTGCTGCTACTGCCATAGGCCCACATCATCATTTCTCCGATTCAGTGGTTGAGGCTCGGAAAACAAGGGCCGGTTCGTTAACATAGCGTCATGGGCAGTGGTAGTTCACTCACCATTCTGTAATGAAAATCTACAACTTACTGCTCAGCATCTGCTCACCTGGAAAGCAAATGCATATCCTGAAGAAGGTAATACAAACATTAAACCACATCAACCTCAGTATGCAAATTTCTCCTGTCTGGCTGGACATACAATTCCCATGATGTGCAACCACCAACTATTGGGGTCTTGTCATCTGATATGCAAGTCCCTAACTTTCCTCCGATCCTTGTACTCTTCCGCTCAACACTGTTTCCTGAACAAGGAAGGTCGCCGACTTTTGCCGTAACCCAGAATGACATTGACACAAGCTTAACATGTTTGCCCTCGCATGCTTAACCCTGCTTTAACCATGCTTAGCAAATAAGGCATCCGGAAGGCAGCTATCAGGCTAACTAACCAGGACTGAAATGGCCCATAACCAGGACCAAAATGGCCCATAACCAGAACTAAAATGGCCCATAACCATCATTGAAATGGCCCCATCCCATGCTTGCTTAACCCCGCTAAGCATGTCCAACTGGTAAGCCAGTAGGTTCAACCATGCTTAGCCAAGGAGGCAAGCAATCATGCTCAAGCATGCTCAATCATGCTAAGTGATGGTTCCCTAACCGCAAGGGAAGCATGCAACCACAGAGACATGTGTGAGCATGACAGCATGTTAAGTTGTTAACCAGAACTACGCGAAAGAAAAGGGGGCGGGGGGGGAACAAAGCTGTGCAGCGGGCATCTTGCCGCATCTGCTTAACCATGCTAAGCGACGGTGAGCCATAACCAAGAAACACGTGCGACCATGTTAAGTTGTTAACCAGAGTTACAGAAAAGAAGAGGGCCAAGAGGCAATCATGCTTCACCATGCTATAAGCGATGGTTAGGTAAGGTAACCAATAGGCATCCTATAGCCTATTGGTTTGCATGGCAATCTAGAGGGAAGCACACAATCACAGAGACATGCACGACCATCTTAAGTTGTTAACCCGAGTTGCACAAAAGAAAAGGAGAAAAAGTTAAAAAAAAGTTAAAAAAACAAAGATATGGAGCGGGGCCTCCGCTCGGGACTCCATATCTGCAAAAGGATTCCAGACAGCGGCAAGCAGAAACAATAAAGAATTGGCATGAAATTTGATAAAAAGTAAATGTAAAGAGAGTTTACCGAGAGCGCTGGATAATAAAAATAAATCCTCCCTTACCAACGACATCGTCCAAACCGGATGGATCACCACAGCTCCCTACCGGGAAACTCCGATCGCATCACTCCCGCATACCCCCTAAATGGATGGATGCACATACAGGCCACAGAGTCATACAGAGAAAAACAAGCCCTCTCCATCCCTTTGCTACCCCCATAAACAAAGACAGGGGACACTGGCACATACCGCAACCTTCAATTGTAGAGCAGCAACAACACATGACCACCGTCACATATAAGCAAACGAATGCTTCGATAAGCAGTGACCATCATCTCCATCTGGCCAGAACTGTGGGGTGTGGTTCTGTGATCCACAACAGCAGCTCAACTAAGAACTTGTTGTTCCACAGTCAATGCACTGAATGCAGGCACCGCTTCGTCTGCAAGGAAGACAGCATGACTGGCAGACCCAAAACGTAACTATTAGTGAGACTCACCAATGCAGGTGAGCATATCTACCATGCACGGTCGGTCATATATACTTCCCGAAGCGTCAGTCTGTCCAATCAACGGGCAAGTGGCTAGAACAGAGGGACAGAAAGCATTGCAGACCAACGAGTTGGTACGGGGAGGAGAAATAATGGATGATACATGACTCATAGGATACTGGTGTGAAATGATCCAGAAATACGGTGACTGACCTTTTCCTGGGTTGGGGGAAGACACATGGGCGCGCGCGCACGCGCGCGGTG